TAGATCATTGGTAACTTTGGAAAGAGCATATTCAGTTGAGCGCTGAGATTGGAAGACAAATTTTGGAGTCATTAAGAGGAAATGGAGGCAGTAAATATATACAGGTTTTTCAGTGAGTTTGTCTGAGAAAAGGATTAGAGATAGAACATGATAGCTTGAAAGTCTGATCAAATACAGAGATCTTTTTTTTTCTTGTTAGGGTAAGATATTTGGCTATGCTTAAATGCAATGAGAAAGGAATCGGTGGGTAGAGGTTGAAGATTCAAGAGGGAAGGGATGGCTGTGGTCAAAATCTGCTGGAGAAGTTGGGCAAAAATGGGATCAAGAACAGGAGAGTTGGCATTGGGAAGGAAAAAGGCCAATTCTTTATCAGAGACAGGGTCATGAGAGAGTAGAGGAAGAAAGTCAAGAAGTTTTTAGGGGAAGAAAATGAAGAGGATGCTGATATGAAATGGCATCAGTAGTCTCGGTAAAGTAAGAGGGCAGGACCTCAGATAAAGGGAGGTAGGGTGAAGAGGGAAGGAGAGAAGGGTAGGAGGGAAGACAAGGTTTGGAGTAGCTTCTCTAGGGAATGAGATAAGGAATCAATTAGGGAAGAATGAAAAAAAACCTTTTAGAAGTCTAGTCCAACTCCCTATTTTCCTTAGTAAAGGAAACAAGTATAGAGAGGTCAAATGTAAAAAGATATTGTTGTAATAGTTTTCCCTCAAGTATTAAGTCAATTATTATTGTTGTTCAGTCGTGTCTAACTCTTCATGACCCCATGGACCATAGCACACCAGGACCTCCTATCCTCTCCTGTCTCCCAAAGTCTGTCCAAGCTCATGTTCCTTGCTTCCATGACGCTATCTATCGATCTCATCCACTGCCGTCCCCTTTTCTTTTTGCCTTCAATCTTTTCCAACATCAGGGTCTTTTCCAATGAGTCCTGTCTCCTCATTAACTGGCCAAAGTGTTTAAGCTTCAGCTTCACTATTTAACCTTCTAGTGAATAGTCTGGATTAATTTTTAAAGTACTAATTTGAACTCTTTGCTGTCCACAGAACTCTCAAAAGTCTTCCCCAGTACCATAATTCCAAAGCATCAATTCTGCAGTGCTCAGCTTTCTTTATAATCCAACTCTAACAACCATACGTTGCCGCTGGAAAAAACCATAGCTTTGACTGTGGTGATGTCTCCACTTTTAGTATGCTGTCCAGATTTGCCATACTTGTCCTTCCAAGAATCAAGCAGCTTTTAATTTCATGGTTACAGTCACCATCTGCAGTGATCTTTGAGTCAAAAAGATAGATAAAGACACAGATGAGCATTCAGAGAGAAAATTAAAAGAAATAAAACATTGAAAACCAAGAAAGAAATATTACAGAAAGAAACATATTTTGTCATATCTTGAAGATTTCAAAAACCAAATCTCTTGGTATTTTCAAATATAAACACTTTAAAATATAAACACTTTTAAAACTTGGCTCAGAATAAAACCACACTCACGTGAAAGACCAAAAAGAATGCTAAGCAACAGAGGTGTCAAATTAGGAGACCATAAGCTCAAACTGGCCACAAGACGCCCAGTAAAACTCTCTGGTGCTGAACCAATTTAAAATGCAATTGGAAAATACTTAACAAAATAAATTAAAAACAATGCAATATAGATAATGTTGATTGGTGGTTTTAAAGTCAGTATATGACCCCCAGGGATCCTTTTCAATTTGAGTTTGACCGCACTGCTTTAAAATAATGTAAATATGTGGATATGTGTACTGATAAAGATAAAAAGTTTGAAGGATAAAAATCTGTAGATATAAGTTCATTATCCAGATTTGGAGTTTGATGCATTTCGTGGATTATTCAAGCTCTTAGATGTAGAAACAAGAAGAATTTCAGAAATGAACAGCAGTAAAATGAAAAGGATAGAAAATAGATCTTATGAGAAAATTTAGAATTCTTAAGCCCACAGAAGAAATTAAGGAAGGACTCAATTTGATAAAAAAAAATCATTTTGAAAAGAATACTGATTGTGTATCCTCCTCCTCTAATACCTTAACAAGATGAAAAATTTACAGTTGTAACAAGAAAATATTTTATTAGATAAAAACATTATAAGAATGATTAAACATTGTAGTAACTGCCTTCTTCATCTTCCCTAGGGCTAAATATAAGCCACAGTAGTTTAAATATAGTTAAAGGATTTATGCTATGAATATATACGTTCATGTATACATATATATATTGCACTATATAAAACAAGCATTTTATATAGCACCTACTATGTGCCAGGCACTTTGCTGCATCTTTTTTTTTTTAAAGAAATATTATTTCATTTGATTCTCATACGATTCTGGAAGGCAGATGCTATTATTATCTCTATTTTACCATCGAAACTGAGGCAAACAGAAGTTAAGTGACTTACCAAGGGTCATACAGCTAGCAAGAATCTGAGACCAGTGCTCTATCCACTGTGCTACCAAATGCTACCTCTATGAAAAGACATCCTGCCAATGAGGGATGTTATTGACAGTATAAAGATATCTTTAAAAGTCAAAGAGATCATCTATTTGTCCAGGATGAAGCTGCCCTCAAAACTGCTTAATATAAATAGAAATAGACCATATAATGAGTTTGAATAGAGATGACCTCTTGAGGTCTCTTTGATTTTTATTCAGATATTTCATCATCAATCTTTCCTTTTGTTTTGTTTTTGTTTTGTTTTTTATACAGTGCTCCTGTGTCCCAAGTCAATAATGTTCCAACAACTGGAGAGTAAGTAATGCAGATCTATTCATTCTAATTCTCTCACTGTGAAAAACAAACAGGAAAAGCAACTTTGTTGAAAGACAAAAGATGTTGAATTCATGGATAGGGACTGGAGCCGTAATTTCATAAGCTATAGTGAGGTGTCTTGATAGGAAACTTTCTCTACCAGTGCTGGTCAGCGCCTTTTCTGCTTTCCTCTTATAGAGTTGGTCACCTAGAGCACTGAGTTAATAACTTGCCTGGGGTCAAATAGCCGATGTATGTATGTAAGTGAGTGATTGATATATGTTTGCTGCTGTTGATGATGTTCGTCCTTCATTCTCAAAAGAGGACCTTGACATCAGGGAGGTGATGCCCTGACATGCAAGTGAATTGTATTTAAGTGACAAAGTCACCAGCCTCATTTTCTCCTCCAGAGCCATCTGGGTCCAGTGGCCATATATGGACAACTGAAGATAGCCCAGGATGCAGTGGGGGACCTTGCCTTTTTAAGCTATGGTGTTTAACATGTCACACATATATAACTTGAAATAATGTCAATAATTTACATTTATATGCTACTTTAAGATTTACAAAGTACTTTCCTCTTAAAGCATTGTGAAATAAATGTAAATAATGTTAACCCCATTTTTATAGATGACGAAAGTGAAGCTCAGAAAGGTAGAGCAACTTGGCCCACAACCAGTGTCGGGGCAAAGCTTGAACTAAGGTTTTCTGAATCTAAGATGACTATCTTTTAACTTTACTATATTGATTTTTTTTAACTGCTTAGATATATCAAATAATAAGTCTACTTGTACATTTGCGATATTTCTATCAGGTGGCATGGGGTAATGGATAGAAAGCTCACCTTAATCTGGGAAAACCAGGGTTCAAGTCTCCCCCTCCAACACAGGCTATGTGAACCTGGACAAGTGATTCACTTCTCCTTGCCTCCAGACAAGGCTCTAACATTGTAAAATACACATGAAGTGTGCTCATCATCTTTGGTAGAGGGAATTCCCCATCAGGAGTTCCCTAGCCCAATAAAATGACAGTTCCAGTCAGAAAAAGAATATATATAATATATACATATATATAAACGCACACATATAGTGCAGTATATGTATTTAGAAATACATATATTGCATTGTAAATACATATGATGATATAATACAGAAACATGTCTATAAACATATATACACACATACATATATACATGTGTGTATATATCTGTGTATGCATATTTTGTGTATACACACACACATACATATATGTTTATAGACATATTTCTGTCCTTCCTCACCATCAGTATTTCCTCCCAAGATGTAGGCCAAGCTCCCTCTAGAGGGCCTAATGCACAATTTTTGTCTTTTTCTTCTATGCATCTTACCTGTTTCAACCAAAGTAAATCCAACCTTTCAGCTGATATATTGTGAATATTTAAAGCAACACCAGCCATATTAATGACATGCATAATATCTAAATTGAACAGAACTCAAGAAAGGATTGTGTTAATTTGCTGTAATGAGTGGTAATTGCACCTTTGGGGATGGAGGTCAAGGAAAGACATTATAGTTATCCATCTATTTCCTTTTTTTTTCTTAAAGAGACATTGCCAAATTTAATAGGCAACGTAAGATTGATCTGATGTTTGACTTGGCTTCTTATAAAAGCCCTCTTTCTGTTAACCTCCTCTATGAACAAGCTGTTTACCAGAACCTCAAGGAGAACTGCTTTCCTAAGAATGGGTCTATTAATTGTTCTCTAAAGAAAAATTTTCTTTCCTTATCCTACTTTTTTTTTCAATGACACTTGCTTCCTGAATACTTACTGTCATCCTTCCTTTGCTTACTATACACATTTCTGTGACTTTAGATACCATGCAAAGACTCAGAACACATGTGAAAAACTAATGAAATGCTTCGTTTAAAAGAGAATGTGTTGTGGAAGCACATGCAGGCTAAAGTCACATGTGTTGCCTGGTACCAAAGCCACAAGTTCATTACCATATACTGAAAAAAGTAAGATTATGGGAGGCAGCTAGGTGGCGCTGAGGATAGAGCATTGGCCTGGAGTCAGGCAGACCTGAGTTCAAATCTGGCCTCAGACACATAACACCCAGTAGCTGTGTGACCCTAGGCAAGTCACTTAGCCCTGTTGCCTAGCCCCTCCCCCCCAAAAAATTAAGATTATGGAGACGTGTTAATGGCGGTCATTCTGTAGATGCTAAAACTTGTAATTGACCAAACACGTTTTTTATTTACTAGGTTATTAGAAAGAACAATTCGGTCAACTGTGGAACAGCATCTTTTTGATGTTCAGGACTCTGGGGGTCAAAGTTCGGAAGATTCAGAATGTGGGGGACCATCAGCTTCTTCCACAGCAGCTGCCAGGCAGAAACGGTGGCATAACAAGGATCAGAATGAAATCAGACATAACAGAGAAAGGTAAGATGGGAAACGATCCTTTTGTGTTTATGTATATGTAAATATGATAATTGCGTATACACATCTCTAACTATATATGCATTCCTAAAATACCACTATGCTGCAGCTATGTTTGTTGGTTATATCTTTATAGCCAAAAGAAGCATTTTTGTTTGATAAAAATTTTCACTTTTCATGTAGAAATTTGTTCAGACTTTACTTAGAAGTCATGTTTTCCCCACTAACAACCTGTTTTGGGGTAATGGTAAACCATTTGGAAGGAAAGCAGACCTATGACACGGTATTTATAAAATATCTAGCTACAGTGTTGTTTGTGGTTGTGAAACCTAATCCCTTTGACTCTTAGACTAGTTCATGAATGAGTTGTTGCTTGTCCATTGTTCTGGAAGAGGACCGTGACCTCAGGGAGGTGAAGCCAGGACACAAGTGATTTGGATTTAAGTGAGGGAGGGCTCAGTAGGTTCCTCCAAAGCATTAGCTTGAGGAAATGTAGAAATGTAGTATCGGTGTAGCAGAAAGAGTGCTAATCTTGGAGTTGGGAGACCTGAGTTCAAATTCTGATCAGACACATCCTAGCTGTGTGATTTAATCGCTTAATTTCTTTTTTTTTTTACTTAATTTCTTTGAGCCTGTTGTGAGGATGAGATGAGATATCTGTTTGAAGTACTTTGCCTCTTTATAGCACTATAGAAATGTCGTTTATTATTACTATTAAATGTCACTCTAACATTATGACTATAGAGAAGAATTTATCATAGGGCAGATCCAATTTAGATACCATTAACGGAGGAAATATGCAAGAAATGTCACTTTCATTAAAGTCTCAGGCATAAGGCATTGACATATGTAACCTAAAGGTGAGTGTTAGGGAACAAGTCTTACATTGCAGGTGTAGTGTTATATTGAAGATCAATATTATCTCTCAGAAAATACAGATAAAAGGACATCTTACTATTAAAAAGAATATGTAGGAGTAAAAGAAAATAACATCTTGGTATTATAATGGTTATTTTACTATAAGTTTTATAAGAAAAAATTTTTGAATTACTTGTGTATAGTAGTAGTATCTTTCTATTTTTTTTTTTATAACAGTGCTGCCCCTATATCTGTTACCCTTAAAATATATGGACTGGTTAGAGGCAGTAATGAGTTTTTGAAAACCCAGGCCATCTCTTATGCCTGGCATGCACTCTCTCCTTGCCTCTGTCCCACAGAATCCCAGACTTCCTTCAAAGCTCAGACAAGGTGACCTCCGATAGGAAGCCTTTCCTCATGTCTCAGCTTCTACTGCTACTTTCTGGAATTACTTTGAATCTAATTTGTATATACTAGTTGTGTACATCTTGTTTCCCCCAATAGAATGTAAGTTCCTTGAGGGCAGGAAGTACCCCATTTTGGTCCTTTTATCCCTAAGACAATGCATAGCTAAATAAAAGCTTATTAATTAATTGAATAAAGGATATATTAAATATGTAGATTAAGAGAATCATTTAAGGGGCAGCTAGGTGGCGCAGTGGATAGAGCACCGGCCCTGAAGTCAGGAGAACCAGAGTTCAAATCCTGTCTCAGACCAAACACTTGACACTCACTAGCTGTGTGACCCTGGGCAAGTCACTTGACCCCAATTGCCTAAAAAAAAAAAAAAAGATAGAACCATTTACTACTATCCTTATAGGCATACAGATATCCTTCCACATCACAGGGGTTAGGGACCTGGCATCCCCTATATCTGGAAAATCCATGTAAAAATTTTTGGCCCTCTCTTTGTACCAGAGAAGTCTGGATTATTACGGTATTACGGTATTATACAATACTATACATATATTTTATGCATTTCTGAGTTTCTGAACTTTTTCTGTGTTATATGCTGGCCTGTGCGTGTCATCTGTGGCTTCCACAGAACTCCAAAAAAATTCCCATTTAATTTCTTATGCTGACCTGCAATATGTTGAAGCTGTGATAGGGAAAGTTACAATGTGGAAGGGATAACTGTGCATTTAAAATGAAGAGTAAAGTTAAAAAAAAACATAAAAGTAAAAACATTTAAAATGAAGAGTAAAGAGACAGGACAAGTTCTACTAAGTCTGTCTGAAAAGCTGAAAGCTCTTTCCATTGGTATACCCAGTCAAGTAACTTTTGACGTAGGTAGGTCAGAGAGTAGACATAGCAACGCTCCATCATTAGGAGGCAATTTACTTGTATAAATTGATAAAGAAATATGAGCAGGATCATATTATTATTTATGAAAACAAAAACACACAGAAGTTTGAAGACTATTTCTGTGAAGGTTATAATGAAGTAGTGCACAGTTGGAGAAAAAATGGGATATGGCAGAGCTTAAAGGAAATTTAAAAAAAAACAAAACAATACTGATGATAAGACCCATACCCAAACAAAATGAGGGAAAAAATATATTGGTGCTCATCTGTCCAACCACACCTCACACCAAATGCAAACCTAGCACAGAATTTTGCGACAATTCCCATAAGGACTCGTGCACTGAAGGCATCATGACCGAGTATTTGCTTACATTAGCAACTTCTCCACAAGAAATATATTTCCTGCAGGGAAAAACAAAATTCCTACTTAAGCTAGGCATCATGGTGACATTTCATTTTGTTTATTTTAATAGGTTTTATTCTACTAGGCTCCTTTGGAAGTCCTAAAAATTATGAAGGAATTTTCTTTATTAATTTTTTAAAATGCTTTTTAGCATTTAAACACAAAAACTGCAGCCTGATACAGTGAAAAGAATGTTGGACTTAGAGGCAGAGAACCTGGTTATACATCCTGGCTCTGTCACTTGCAGCCTGTGTTACCTTGCCCATTGACCATCCTCAGGTCTGCGTTTCCTCACCCATAAAATGAGGGGATTGCACTAGAATCCAAAATCTATCTGATCTACAAGGTCCTTTTCAGTAGCTAAGCAGTCAAAAGATATTGTTGTTTGTCCTTTGTTCTTGAAGAGGACCATGACATCCAGAAGACAAAGCCATGACTTGCAAATGAATTGGATTTAAGCAAGGGAGGGTGTGCAAAGTCAGCAGCCTCATTTTCTCCTATGGAGCCTTCTGGGTCCAGTGCCCAGGTATAGATCAAGACGACTGGAGATGCTCCCCTCTCCGCTCAAAAGATATGCGTAGTTTTCAAGAGCAGAATGTAACCTATCAGCAGCTATGTAAAAGATTGCTCTAAATCACTAATAATATGAAAAAATTTTAACAATGCTAAGGTTATACTTCAGACCCAGAAGATCAACAAAGATTGACAATTCTACATTAAAGGTTATTTGGGAATACAATAATACCTAACATTAATATAGCATTTACTATGTTCCAGTCACTGTGCTAAGTATTTTACAATTATTATCTTATTTGATCCTCACAACAATCCTAGGAAGTAGTTACTATTATTATCCCTGTTTTACAGATGAGGAAACTAAGGCCAACAGCAGTTAGGAGACTTGTCCAGGGTTACCCAGCTAGAAAGTAACTCGAGGCTACATTTGAACTCAGGTCTTTAAGACCCCAGATCTAATGCTCTATCCACTGCACCACCTAGAAGCTCCTGCTAAAAGGCTCGCTTTTGGTAGAATACTGAAATGGTTCAACTATTTTGGAAAATAATTTGAATTTATATGAGAAAAATCACTAAGGTATTCATAACCTAGAGATGCCAAAAATGGAGACAAAGTGGGTGCTTTGATGGGGGAATGAATAAACAAATGGTGGTACGTGAATGTAATGAAATATTGTGTCATAAGATGAGAAATATGAGACCCGTAGGGACTAATACAGAAGAAAATGAGAACCGTATACATCATCATCACTGCAGTCACTGCATTCCGAGTGACCAATTTGGAAAACAGAGGGTGAAATGCGCCTTTCCCTTTTTGGTAGACACGGGCAGAATGGGGCATGTGCCGTCGGTCAACCAGTCAGTCAGTTGTCAGATGGTTTTGTTTAACCGTTATGTGGGCATGTTCCTTGGGTGGAGGGAAGGGGTGGGATGGGGGCTGTGATTTAAAAAAAAAGTGCAAAGCAGCAAATTTGAAATTAATGGAACTGAATTAAAATTTTGTCTTTCCTACTTACTCGCTGGGACTACGAAAGCCTCTTAATCTCTTTGAAACTCAGTTTCCTCATCTTTTAAGTGGAAAATAAATAGTATTTGAACGATCCAGATTCTAGAGGTTTGTGAGGAAAGCACTATGAAATTGCATCATTGTTGTATAAATGTGGGTCATAACTATCACTTTTGCCAATCTCCTCCTCCTTCTCCTCCCCCTCCCTCTCTCCCACCCCCCTTCCTCCTTTTCCTCTTTCTCCTCTTCCTCCTCTTCCTCTTCCCCATCCTGCCCCGCCCCCCTCACCTCCTCCTCCTGCCTTTCCTCCTCCCTCTTCTGCTGATTCTTCTTCTGCATCTGCTCACCGGGGCCTAACCCACTGCTGACCGATACGCTTAGGAGCTTGGATCAGCTCAGTGTCCCTCCTTCTTAGGCAGCATGGGGCCTCCCTACACTTGTGAGCTCGCTATTTGGTGACAGTGAGACCACCCACTGAACTTTAGTCCGCTTCTGCTCTGGACTCCTGAGTTCAAGTGATCCACCAGTCTCAGCCTCCCAGGGAGCAGGATTTGCAGACAATAATAGTTTATCCAAGCCACCTGATTACTTTCTTCCCTATTAGGTAATGTAAGGCATATGCTTACCTTTCCACTATTTATGGAAAGAAATTTGCTAAATAAATTTGTGGTTTAAATAAAATTTCATGAGAGTATATTTAAGCTACTTAAAGAGATCTATTTTTAAGAAATTTAGAAGTTTTATTTGCCTGTAATACCCATGCTAATTTCAGAGAATTCTGATCTATTCATAAAATTAGGTTATTATATCCTTTAATAAGACTAGTTTCTAATATTGCACAAACAGAAAAGAAACCAAGCTGCATTTTAAATTTTAGACTTTCACCTAATTGAAACTTTGCCCTTTGATTAACTTATTTTATTAAGGTTTTACTTTATCCACTGCATTAGCATAGCACTAGGAAATTTGGGGGATGCATTGGAGAAGGAAAAGTATGTTATTTTCTAATTGTTTTTAATATTTCCTACCAGGATGATAAATCTCATATTTTTATAATAGGACATTTGATTTCCTTTCCCAGATTCTCTTTATGACCAAAAGATAAATCCCTTCAAACCTATATCCCAGAAGCCTCTTTTGAATTTTTAATTCTTCGCCCTTTAAAAAAAATACATACATTATTTTGACTATACTTGAAAAAATTATACATTGTAGAATAGTAGCCCTTGCAAATTTGTGTCCAAGAATGACTTGCCTTGCAAAATAAGTAACTTATTTAGCATACAGATTTGCACAGGCTGTTGTTTAGAAGTTGTGGAGCTTTTGCCTTTAATCTCAGGATGAGACCTGGGAATCCCTGGTACTCATCTCTCTTTCTTCAGTGAGCTGTGATTATAATCATGGGTCTTTTCTCCTATTAGTAAAATTAGGCATAAAAAAATCATGCTTGTTTTTTAAATTGAAGGGTACTTATCAACAAAGAAAATATTCCTTCTGAGTTCAGCAGCCTCGAGGATTGTATTTTGACTGCACAGGAAGCAGAAAAATACCAGGAAAACAACTGTGTATATATCGAAGAAAACAGCAAACCTAAAAGACAGAAATCCAGTACCAGACTTTCTGAGATTAATGACAACCAAGATAATCATGTGGTAAGTGGATTTTTCCTATAAAATATTGAAATGCAGCACTTTTAGGAAGATTGTTTCTTTCTATTAAATATTACAGAACATGAAAACTCATTTTGGACTCAATTTCATCAAATCATGGGATTTCAGAGATGGAAGGGACCATTGAAATCCTGTAATCTAACACTTGTTTACAGATGGGGAACCAGAGATAGAGAAAGGTTAAATTTTTGCCAAGATAGCATTGTTATGAACTTTTGCAACCAAAATCAGCCTTGAGTTTTCATCCTTTGGAATATTTTTGAAAGAAGTTAGATTTCAGTCAAGGAAAATTGATGTCTTTTCTCATTTCCATACCATCCTTTGAGTGTTACCCCCTAGTTTACATTTTTAAAAATAAATGAAGACAGGGAAGTAGCCAGCACCCAAGTCAATCTTGCTGCCGTCCAGCCTGACCATGAGTTCCAGTGTCCTGGAAAGGAGAGGCCAGAGCACTGCCTGTCCCCTGGCTTGACTCCTCTCAAAGCCTCCTGCCTTCCAGCCCTCTGGGGTTCATCCCCCAGGCTGCTGTCCAAATTCCTCCTTTTTGGAGAGGCTTTTGGCAGCCCATCACTTTAATACAGTATAATTATTAATTTTAAAATAATGTTATGACCAACTTAATAACCATCTCCATGAAAACAAAACAGAATAAAATCATACTTGAAGTCATAAAAAAAAATGAAGAAAGGTAGCATGACATATTGAAAAAAAAAAAACAGCTGACCTCAGGATCAAGTCCCACGTATGATACACACTGATTATGTGACCTGGACGAGCCGCTTAATTCTCAGTGCACCCAGGTAACTAACTTTCTAAGACAGCAAACTTCAAAGCAGGTGCTAACCTACAATTGAAGTTGGAGTTTCCCTGCTGAGACTTCCCAACACTAATGAAATCTGAGGTTTAGAATCCTCCCTAACCCTACTATCCCACAGAACCTAAAAAAGAATAAAAAGGAATGATAATTCTAAGACCTCCCCCTTACCAAAATTATTTTATGTATATGTTGTATGTGCACGTATACAAAATATATTTGTATACATAAAAGTATATATGCATATATAAAAATATACAAAGTACATGTGGACATATATGTACATATATAAAATATATGCAAAGTGTATGTGTATATATATACTTGTACATACATAAACAAAATATATGTGTATATATCTATACTCTATATATACATACATACATGTATATACATTGTATATATTATACATTGTATGTGTGAGTGTGTATATGTAAAATGTATTTTATATATAAATAAAATATAATGTATAGTGTGTGTGTGTGTGTGTCTGTGTGTGTGTATGTACTATCCTTGTACCTCCCAATTGAAGCTAAACTCCTTGAAGGCAGGAATCACTTTTGGTCTTTGTATCTCAGTTTCCAGAATAGTGCCTGGCACATACTACATACTTGGTAAATGAATCATTTATCAAATTAATCAAGATCTTTGATTATAAAAACTTAGTTTAAAATATTCATTCAAAAAACATTCAACAGTTCAACAGCTTAGCCCTATATATGCCACTGATACAGTGTTTAGATCATTGGGCAAATTGCTTTAAACAAAGAAATATTTATTTCAAGTTTACCATGTGCCTAGTTTTAATTTATGTGCCTCAGTTTCTTCTCCTTATAGGAAACTTGCTTTCTAATTCATTCTTGTAAAAAAATTAATTTAAAAACTTAGAAGATAAATTATAACATGTTGGTGGGTGGGGGATTCAAATATAGACATGATTTCTTTGAAAATTCCTTTAAGGGTTTGAGAAATTCCATTAAGAAATTCCTTCTACCAGTTCAGAACGGCATCACATCTGCAACTTGTTTTCTTAGAAAGTTGCCTGGGGACAGTTGTCCTTCCTTCTTGAGAGGACCAAAATGACATCACTATGTTAGAGTCAAGTTACAATATGTCCCAATGGTGGCTGATCCGACCAGTATGAGCTTGGAATGTTCTACCACAGGCTGGGCACAAATAGTCCATGTGAACATTTGGGGTGGAGTCTCTAAATCTGAGCATCTGACGGGTTTTTTTTGTTTGTTTTTTGTTTTTGTTTGTTTTTTTAGCTACTTCAATTCTGCTTTGCTCATAGAGCACAGCACCTTGCCTGGGGACGTTAAAAGGTTAAGTGATTTGCCCATGGTCACGTAGGATACATCTGGGGTTGACCTTGAACCAAGATCTTACAGATTCCATTTCAGCTTTCCATTCATTACACCATGCTGCCTTTCAAATTTTCTTGAGTCTTCTTCTACAAAATGACCAATATGGAAATGTTTACATGACTGCACATGTATAAACTATATCAGGTTGCTTACTGTCTCAGAGAGAGGGGAGGGGAGGGAGGGATAGAATTTGGAACTCAACACTGTTTTTAAAAATGTTTAAAAATTGTTTTAACATGTAATTGGGGAAAAATAAAATATATAACAAAGGAAAAAAATCACATGTATGTATACAGAGATCATCAAAGGGCAGTTAATAATATTACTTCTCATGTGTATAGAATCCATTTTGAGATCGTCTTGGTTGTATGATTTACTTAGGCTTCCCTACCTAGACTTCCTAATACTAATGAAACCCCGTCTAATATACTACCCCACAGAACCATGGGCAACTCACCTTAATTCTCTCTGAACCTCAGTCTCCTCATTTATATAAAAAAGGATTGGACTACATGATGTCCAAAGTCCCTTTCAGATTTAAATTTGTGACTATGAACTCTAATTAGTTTTTTATTTATTTTTTTGTCACATTTTAAATAAGGAAACTTTCACAATGTGATGAAACACAATTACAGCTCAGGGCAAAGTAAAAGTTCACATTTTGCTTGATCAAACAGAAAACTACCCCAAATCATTAAATTTTTAAAAAAAATTTTTCTGGTTAATTTTTCATCCCAGGCTATCTTTCCCGTGCCAATTAGCATGCTTCAGGACTATACTTACCAATGTTCATGGTCAGGGAATAACCCTAATTTTGATGTTAGTCTGTTAACAGTTAAAAGTCTATTATAGTAAAAAGATATTGGGGCAGCTAGGTGGTGTAATGGATAGAGCACCAGCCCTGGAGTCAGGAGAACCTGAGTTCAAAACCGACCCCAGACACTTGATACTTACCAGCTGTGTGACCCTGGGCAAGTCACTTAACCTCATTGCCTAGCAAAAATTTTTTAAAAAAGCAAGATATCAAGAAAAATATTAATTCTTTCTATTGTAGGCACAAGGCCACAAGAAATAATTTTTAAATTAATTTTATATTAATCTAAATCTAAGCATTGTTCTACTTGGAGACAGAAATAATAGAATCTCCTCAAGGTCTCACATATCTCTGTAACACAAGTCATTCCGATGTCACATTTTAAATAAGGAAACTTTCACAATGTGATGAAATACAATTACAGCTCAGGGCAAGGTAAAAGTTCATATTTTGCTTAATCAAACAGAAAAAATGTTACTTGGACTTTAGGTATACTCACGGAGAATCATTTTCCTAAAATCCCTCAATTCTGTTTCACCACGTCCTTTATGGGCTCTCCTTTCTAGATGGTCAAAGGAGAACTAACATAGGCAGAAGCCTTTTCCCTCTCCTCCATATCCCCCAGGGGTGGGGAACCCTGTATCCTTTCATGGGATGGGGAAAAGTGATGACCTTAGCTAGACAAGGGGTATTTTCCATACTAAATCTATGTATCATCCTTTATCCACTTCCCTAAAATAAAGGGCTTCAGGTGGAAAGAGCAGGTTGAAACTGCCTTGGGCTTGGATGAGAACATCTGTATTTAAATTCTAGCTTGGAGACTAATTAAGCTGTGTGACCTTGCCAAGACATTTCATTACTTCAGTATCGTCATCCATAAAATGAGGGCAATTATTTATTTACTCCTGCTCTCATTTTTATTAGTTCTGTTTTCTTACGTTTTTTTTTTGGAATTTCCTTTTTTCCCCCTCCCCTTTTCTAGTGTCTTTAGGTGCAGATAATTCATCTAGTCTTTTATTTTCTCTTATCGAGGCAGGCACACTGTTATAATTTTTCTTCTAGGAACCATTTTGATAAGGGCTATAAATATCATTATCTTCTAAATATTATTTTATTATATTTTTCAGTTTCATCCTTAATCTCATTTGTTTTTAATAGATTTTTTCATTTCATGTAGTCATACCTTTTATACTCATCTATTCTATAGCCAATGTCATTACATGAATTATTTCATAACTCCTCCAATCACTTTATCATTCATTATTTGGAGAATAAAAACCAATAACTTTTAGAAAAGAACACAGACCTCAGAACTAAGTTGACAATAATATTCATATGGGTTTAAAGTTGTACCTTTGGTACATATTTTGCATATAACTTGACAATTAGATGTTTCTTTTAAGCAGTTTCAACACTAAGAAACCAGTCATTTACTAAAGTGCCACTAAAAGCATTGGGTTCTTTTGAGCAAACACCTTTAATTTAAAAAAAATTAAAGAAATTGAGCACTTTTTTTTTCGATTTAAAAAATTCATCTTACTGTGCTTAACAGCACGCCCATCATTTTAATTCCCTCTGTGCTATTCTAGCAATCTGTCATCAAGCATTTAATAGTAGTCTGTTCTGTGCCAGGCACCATTTTAGGCAGTAGGGACCCAATGACAAAAGTCTCTGTCTTCCTGATGCTTTCATTATATGTACACATTTAAGTCTATACAAAATACATACAAAATAAATGAAGGGTAATTTCCGGGCAGGGTAGGATGCTGTTGCTATTTCTAGAAAGAAAAACCTCTTCGTGTAGGAGGTGTGGCATTTGAACTGAGCTTTGAAGGAAGGTAGAGATTTTAAGAGGTAATGTATTTCAGGTATATTGGATAGTCTGTGCAGAGATAAAGACAAAACCTGGAATGTTTTGAGCCCCAGCAAGAAGACCCATGTGGCTACAGCATAGATTGCCTGAAGGAGGAGAAATGTGCATTGTGAT